AATAAAAAATGGGCAGAAGAGCTAAAGCGGCATTTCTCCAAAGAAGACATGCAGATGGCCAACAGTCATATGAAGACATATGAAGATGAAAACATATGAAGACAGTCATTTGAAGATGAAAAAATGTTCATCATCACTTATAAAGAAAATGCAAATTGAAACCATCATGAGACACCACCTCACACCTGTGAGAATGGCACATATCAAAAAGAGCAGACACAAGTGCTGGTGAGGGCTTGGAGAAAAAGGAACCCTCTTCCACTGTTGGTGGGAATACAGACTGGTCCAGTAGTGATTCCTCAAAAGACTAAAAATGGATCTACCAAATGACCCAGCAATTCCACTCCTAGGTATCAATCCAAAGAGTAGAAAAACACTTATTTGAAAGGAAACCCGAACTCCTATAGCAGCAGTAATTAAAACAGCCAAGATATGGAAACAACCTATATGCCCCAGAACAGATGAGTGGATCATCTGTGAGATACACACACACACACACACACACACACACACACACAATGGAATACTACCCAGTGTCATAAAAAAAGATAAATTCATCACATTTGCAGCAACATGGACGGAACTGGAAGGGATTAGTCTAAGTGAAGTGGTACAGAAGGGGAAAGAGAAGTTATCAGCTGGTTTCACATATATGTAGAATCTAGAGAAACCAAATGATCAAAGACAAACTGAAAGACAAGCCCTTGAAAGCAGTTTTGAGACATTTGGATGGAGTGGTGGAGGGGGAGCAAAAGAGGGAGAGCAGAAAACTGGGGAGGAGAAGACTATGGACGATGGTGCAGACTGTGGGTGCTTTGGTGGTAGGAAAACTACGGTGACCACACCTGTGGGGAGGAATTCTGTTTGTGAAAAAATAAATGAAGATGTTTTAAAAAGAAAAAAAAAGAAACTATTAATTTACACTCTTATGAAAGTTCCCCTTTTCTAACTCTGGGCCAAAATTTCAAATTATCAACTTTAAATGTTTGCTAATCTTATAGGTAAATGTAGCATCTATCATCATTATTTCAATTTATATTTCCCCTAATACCAGGAGGTTAAGTGTCTTTCCTAAAATATATGGTCCTATTGGGTTTTCTTTTCTATGGAATGCTTAGATTTACTTTTGCTATTTGGTTATCTTAGCTAGTTTACCTCTTTATGTAGTTTGAATACTAACCCTTGGTTAGTTAAGATATTTTGTTAATATTTTCTTCAAACATGTTTTTTTAAACATAAAAGTGCTTTCTGTTAGGGAAATGCAAATCAAAACTACAATGAGATACCATCTTACACCAGTGAGAATGGCACATATTAAAATAACTAGCAACAACAAATGTTGGCGAGGATGTGGAGAAAAAGGAACTCTCCTGCACTGTTGGTGGGAGTGCAAACTGGTCCAACCACTATAGAAATCTGTGTGGAGATTCCTCAACCTGCTAAAGATGGAGCTTCCATATGATGCAGCAATTCTACTCCTAGGTATTTACCCAAAGGACATAGAATCATTAATTCAAAAGGGTACCTGCACCCCCATGTTTATAGCAGCACTATTTACAATAGCTAAGCTATGGAAACAATCCAAATGCCCAAAAATAGATGACTGGATCAAGATGACATGGTCCATATATACAATGGAATATTACTCAGCAATCAAAAAAGATAAACTCATGCAATTTGCAACAGCATGGATGGAGCTGGAAGGGATCAAGCTCAGTGAAATTAGCCAGAAAGAAAAAGAAAAATACCGGATGGTCTCACTCATAGCAGGAATTTAGAAAACCTAAATAAGGGACCAGGAAGAAACCTAATAAAGTAAAAATCAAAATCAACAAGCAACTATAAACCAGACACACACTACAGGGGGTAGGAGGGAGTAGGATCAAAACAAGGGGGGTGGGAATTGTATGGGGACTATAACCAAGATGAAAATGCATATTGTGCAAAAATGAAAAATGATGTAAAAATGTATAAAATAAAATTTTAAAAAATACATAATAAAATGGGCTGTTAAATTTTTATAAAAGTGCTTTCTGTTAAACAGAAATTTATTTTTATGTAATCAAATGTCTCTATTTTTTCTTCATGAATTCTGCTTCAAAGACACTTCTCAGTGATCCATAGTGGACACATATAAGAGGATGTTCATCATACCACTGCTTTCAGTTCTAGGGAATTGAGTGCCCTTCCTTGGGAGAGCACATAGTTACACGGAGTAGATGAACAATAATGACACAGTTACAAGTGAAGTCTAGACACACATAGGACAGGATGGATGCTAAGTGAAAAACAGAATAAAATCTGTCACACACAAAGCATTTACATAAAAGGAAACTATATGCAAACTAAAATAACAATGTACATTTTAAAGAATCCATACAAATTAATAGATACATAATACTCATTAGAACAACTGTCTAGTGGAGGAGGGGGAAAGGAGTAGAAGTGAAGAATAAAGGTTATTCAATCAACAATACCAGTAAAGAATCTACACAAACTAATAAAAATGATATATCATGTATTAAGGAATACAATTAATTCAAGTTTCCACAACTGGAATTTATAAAAATTAGACATTGTTGTCCTGGGAGCTGATGACATAAAATAGTCTGGGGTCAGCAAAATAGTCCGGGGTCAAATTCTATGAATAGTTAAATATATAAGATCACAACAGTTTATGAGAAGGCAAGAATATCCTTGGGAAGGGTAAAGGCATATGTAGAGGCAGGACTGGACACAGTGCAGGTTTTCTGACCCAGCAGACCGGGTATCATGTCATAGCTTTTCCAACTTCTGGAATGCTGACCACCTGGGGAGCTAAATTGTTTCCCTCTTCAGGTGCCTGCCATCAGGCATGCATTCAGCACCACAGGGTTCCCTCATCTTTTTTTTTAAAGATTTATTTATTTATTTATACAAGCACTGGGTACAGAGACACGGGAGGGTGTGAGAATTCACCAGAGCCAGAGCGGAGAGTAGAACAGGCAGAGTGACGAAGTACACTGCGGAGGGGAGCAGCGGGCGGCAGGAGAGGTCTGCGCGCCATGTGGGACCCTCACCCGGTGGCCAGGGATCGAACTGGTGCTGCAGAGGCTGCGGGCAGCTTCGCTCAACAGCTGCGCCACCGGGGAGGCCCTCCCTCATCTATCTTAATGGCGGGAGGGCAGAAAAGCCTGATACTTTTTCCTTACCCTACAGTCCACTCCCTCAGGGTTTTCTGCCATACAATCTACACAAGTCACATACGTTTCTCTTGGCAATAGAACACTGCAGCCATGGCCCACAAAAACAAATAATATATATCACAATAGAACAACAAAATACATAAAATACAAGGGAACACAAGGTCCAGGCAGGGCCCCAAACTAGTGGCAAAAGACAATTATTGGCACCAGCAGATGAGCCACCAAATCTGCTGCCGAAGGCACTGCTCATACGAGGGAGGGAATCACTCACGGCATCTATTGTAACACGCCAGGAGCCGTCAGGCTTCCTGGCCTTCTCTGGCTGTAGTCTCGGCTACAAGCCACACACCGCATCCACCCCCAGGATGCACTCACTCTGGGATTGGCGATTCTATTTTACTGTTGAGGGTAATCGCCAACCCTCAGGGTTTCTGTCTGCAGTCGCTCCAACACTCGGCTTTCATAGCCACCAATGCAACACGCAGACCCCTGCACTCAGGCCAACCCACTGCACAAGCACATGGTCAGGGATCCAAACTCTACATGCGGCCTCTCTTGGGTCCCCTCGTCAGCTTGGGCTCCACCCCAAGCCACGTTCCCCACCCATCCCCCAAGGACGGGTTCCTCAGCTCCTCACCCTCACTCAAGAATGAGTAGGGCATCACCCACAGGTGATTTTAAGAGACTCACTGGTCTTCAGCATACTCAGGCTGCTTAACAGCCATTCAGGGCTTCTCAACAGCTGCTCAGGGCTTCTCAACTTAGCACCAGCTTTTGCCTTCTCAAAATTGGCTTTTTTCCCCTGCCTAGCTGCTGGGCATACACAGGCTGCTTTTGGCCATCAAGGCCCACTGGCCACTCCCAGATTCCCATCTCCTGGGGTGTACAAACAATAGCATTCTCCCCCAGAGTCCCAAAAACGTAACTTGCCAAAGTTCCTCCGCCTTCTGGCGGGATTGTCAGTCCAAGTCCGTTGGCCTCTCCCTGTATCAGCACTGGAGAGATCCGAATCGTGGTCCTCTCTTCCCCAATGATTCTGCTGCCTCGGCGGCCTTGGGCTGGTCCTCTCGGGTGTCTCCTGCAAGCGAGGTCTCATCCCGCAGCTCCCGGACCTTGTCCACCTCCTGTGCCGCCATGGCGCCTCCAGTGTCGTCACAGGCAAACACAGTCTGTTACTCCTAAGTCCCTCCAGGTCTTTGGAGGGCTCCAATACCGGTTTGCATGGATCATCTTGCTGACTTATGCCAATTGTAGAGGCAGGACTGGACACAGGGCAGGTTTTCTGACCCAGCAGACCGGGTAAAGGAGGAGTCAGAGTCCTCAGTGGTTTCTGCAGGTCTTTTACTGGAATTTATTGGAAATGAATATCTTTGGTCAAAATAGACTACTCCATTCTTTGTCATAGCTTTTCCAACTTCTGGAATGCTGACCACCTAGGGAGCTAAACTGTTTCCCTCTTCAGGTGCCCACCATCAGGCATGCATTCAGGACCACTGGGTTCCCTCATCTATCCTAATGGTGGGAGGGCAGAAAAGCCTGATACTTTTTCCTTACCCTACAGCATGTGAGATAACAGAAAATCTAAGGATAAGTGGGTCTGGATTTTTGTCTTCAGAAGATAAAAGGAAAGGAAAACAAAGGAAAAATAAATCATTTTCTAAATGAGGATGTGTGCTGAGACCGCCAGGGAGTTCCAATGCTGAAGGGGGAAGGGACCAGACTCACATTCCTCTTTCTGCATATGTCCTGCACTGCCTAGGTCTAGAAGCAGGCTCCAACATCCTCAAATAAGCTTCCCCTCAAAAGTTTAATGTGCTACTCACCTGGTAAGGGAGACATCGTGATCACAAAGGTGGTTTTCCCAGAGTGAGGCTTATCCATTGTACTCCGGATGTGCTGACCCCTGGAATTTCCCCCAATGTGGGAGACTCAGCTGCAAAATTGTTGTGGTGGGGGACTGACGGCATTGGCACTCTTCCCTAAATAATGACAGGAAAAACAAATTAAGAAAAGTTTACTATGAATAATATTGGTTCAGTCTTTGACTTAAAGGGAAAGGGAGCCACAAAAGAACAGGAAGGAAGGGTTGTTACTCCTCCTCCCCTTACCACTTACTCCTTAATTGCTTCCCTGATTATCTCACTAAAGCATTTATATATTTACATAAAACCTCTGTGTGTGTGTGTGTGTGTGTGTGTGTATAAATATGTAGAACACAGTAAAAAACAAATCACAATTTAGAAGTTACTTTTACTATACTATTAGAAATAACTAAACTTATTAAATGAAGACAGGAATTTATTGATTCAGAAAATCTGGACATACTGAAAAGCAAGCAGAAATGTAAGGGGGCAAGAGCTCACTTCTAGTAAACAAGTGTGTGAAAATCTATGAAGTTAAAAAACATTAGTCTCATAACGTCACACTGTAATGATTTTGGAGTTTTAGGTTTCAGCAGTTTTTTTGAACATATGTCATTTCAGAGTCCTGAATGGTTGTCTTTAACTTTTTCTATAAGCAGACAATGTAAATCATGCACCAGTCTAATTCCAGAGTGGTTCTGCTGTTCATCTTACGAATCCATCAATTCCCAAACAGACAACACAATCTTCTGGTCCCACAGCTAAGATACATATGTTAGAGGTGTGTAGTCAAGTCAGGAGGTGAACTAAACCAATAATCATGAATAATATATTCAAACACATACCTAGTCTATAGGGTGTGGGTGGTGAAATATGGATGAGTAAACAGGAGACCAGCAAGGGAGTAATAGAGTCTAAGTTGATAAAAAGTGGACCCAGAGACGATAGAGAGGTCTATAGGTACAAGGAATTTAGTGATTCCTCAAGTACTGCCCTTCTGCAGGAGGAATTTAAGGAAAGGATTTCCCCAAAGCTCAGGAATCAGCATCAGATCATCAGTGTTGTTTAATCAGGTTTGAGATGCTCAGTTGTTAACAAGGCTGCGACACAAGTACTTGTCCTTGAGCGTCTCATGATAGGAATTCTTTGTTTTTCTGCCTCCCCTACTTCCAAAATAAAAAGCCTGGCCTGTAAGGTGAACCCTAGGTTCTGCTATCCGATAACTGGTATTGTTGATACCAACTTTCCCCATCAGCTGCCTAACTAAATCTCCTACTGCTGGCTTCTCCACCATTGAGTTCTGCCCACCTGTCAGACCCTACTTTGTTGAAGTTACTCCTCCCCTAGTCCACTTGCCCATAATAGCTGATTGCCAATTCTCTAACCTATTGTCTCTTCTCCTACACTTGCCCACAGCCTCGACATCCAATGCACTGTCAAGTTCTACTTCTGAAATGCATCTTCCCTGTATTTAATTTCATTGCCAACACCTAATTTGAAACCTCATTATCTCCCACCTGTATCAACTAAATTCACCATCCACAACCGTAGCAGAGGCCATGATCCTGACACTTCTCCAAAAAAGACACTCAGATGGCCTACATGCATATGAAAATGTTTTACATTACTTATTATGAGGGAAATTGTCAAAACCACAATAAGGTTTCACCTCACCCCTGTGAGAACAGCCTGTATCAAAAAGACTAAAAACAACATATGGTGAGGATGTGAAGAAAAAGGACCACCTATCTACTGTTGGTGGGAATGTAATTGGGTATAGCCTCCGCCAAAAATGGTATGGAGTACCTTAAAATGAAAAAAGGAAACACCATATGATCCAGGAATACCACTAGTAGGTATTTACCCAAGGAATATGAAAACACTAATGTGAAAGATTTATGTATTCCTATGTTCACAGTAGCACTGTCCACAATTGCCAAGTCATGGAACCAACCTAAGTGCCTAATGACAGATGACTGGATAAAGAAGTCGTGGAACATATACTCAATAGAAAATAACTCAGCTATTTAAAAAGATAAAATTGTACCTTTTGGGGCAAAACAGATGGATATTAAGATGATTATACTAAGTGAAGTAAGTCAGAAATTCAAAGACAGTTATCAGTTAGTTTCATTCATTTGTGGAATATAAAGAACCAAAGAAAACAAATTGACAAAACACGGGAGAAATAATTCTTAGATATTGTGAAAGAAAAAAAAAAAAACCACCACATACTGGTTACCAGAGGGAATGAAGGCTGGAAGAAGTAGGTAAGAGGAGGAAATGTATAGGACTTTGGCACTAGAATTATGCGGAGAATGAAAGAGGCATGTGCACATAAGGAGGTATGAAGCTGTACTCTCAAAAGTATATAGTCATGTAAATCACTGACAAAAAAATAATAAAGTTTAAGATATAAAGACAAAGCAATAACCTTAGAGGAAAACAAAATATATAAAGAACCGGGACAACTCAATAGAAAAATATTCAAATTTAAAATGGGAAATAAAGATGAATAGACATTTTTCCAAAAGAAACACACATACATGACCAATAGTACTTGAAAAGGTACTCAAAAATCACTTTTCATCAGGAAAATGCAAATCAAAGCACAATGGGCTATTAGAATGGCTATTGTCAGTACAAAAGACAACAAATGTTGGTGAGAATGTGAAAAAAGAGAACCCTACCCAAAGGACACAAAAACACTAATTCAAAAGGAAACCTGCACTCCTATGTTCATTGCAGCCGTATGTACAACAGCTAATATATGGAAACAACCTAAATATCCAAAAGGATATGGTATATATACACAGTGGGATACTACTCAGCAATCCAAAAAGATAAACTCATGCCATCTGCAGCAACATGGATGGAACGGGAAGGGATTATGCTCAGTGAAATAAATCAGAAGGAGAAAAAAAACATCGATGGCTTCACGTATAGGTGGAACATAGGGAAACTGAGTAAGAGGTCAGGGAAAAAAAATTAGCAGGCAAACTATAAATCTAAGACACACAGCAGGGGAGGGGGAAAGAGAGAAAGAGGAGTCAAAACAGGGGCGGGAAGAGCGTAAGAGAAGAACTCAAACATTGTTAAAAAAACTGAACATGATGTCAAAAAATAAATACATTTTTTCAAAAAAGGAAAAAGAGAACCCTTACACACTATTGGTGGGAATATAAATTGGTGCAATCTATGGAAAATAGAGGTACTTCAAAAAACTGAAAATAGAATAACCATATCATCCAGTAACCTACTCCTACATATATATCTGAAGGTAATGATCAAAGATATACCTGTATTCTTATGTCCACTGTATCATTATTCACAATAGCCAAGGTATAGTAACAATCTAAATGTCCTTCAACAAATGAATGGGCAAAGAAAATGCAATTATATAAAATATATAATACATATAGTATGTATATAAGGGAATATTATTTCACCATGAAAAAGAAGGACATCTGCCATTTCAAATAACATGGATAAACCTTGAGGATATTATGCTAAGTGAAGTAAGTCAGACAGAGAAAGACAAATACTACATGGTATCACATATATGTGGAAGCTTTTTAAAAAGTCAATTTCACAGAAACAGAGAATAGAATGGTGGCTTCCAGAAGCCAGGGAGTGGGAAAATGGATTCATGTAGGTCACTGGGCAGAACTATTAGTTATAAAAGAAGTTCTGAGGATTTAATGTACACCACAGTGACTGTACTTAAAAATATGACATCGTATACTTGAAAGCTACAGACAATAGATTATATGGATTCTCACCAGAAACAAACAAATAAATAAATACATGAGGTGATATGGATCTTGATCTTGGTAATCATTTCACAATATCTATATACATGAAAACATCACATTGTACACTTTAAATGTATACAATTATATTTGTCAATTACCCCTCAATAAAATTGGGGGGAGGAATAAAATAAAGAGAATGAGTTCCTTCCTCATCTGCCTTCCCATAATAATTTCTAAATATCTTTATTACAACACACATCACATTGTTTACATGTCTGCTCTATTCACTAGATTGTGAACTCTGTAAGGACAGGGAGCATGACTTCATTGATAGTCCTGTGACAGGATGGTAACTGATAGTAGTGACCTGGTAACAAATGTTTGTTGAATGAGTTACTGTGAATACCCTGAAGTACTGTGACCTTTCTTTTAATCTGAACATCCCTCTGACACCTGAAGAAATGTCTTTCAAAAACCATACTGTGGTTTTGTGGTCTGTCTATAACATCCCTGTAAGGACAGGTGAAAAAGAGGAATAAGAACTTATGATCTTCACATTCTCATAATTACTGACTTATTCTAAAACATGTCTGGATGCATGGCATTGGTGAAGTCTGCTCAGAATGGCTATGCTGCCTCTGTCCTGGTTTGCTCCTCAAATCTATTTTCCAGTTTCCTAATGGCACACCATTGTGAAACCAAAACTCACTGTTTTTCTGGAACATGGAATGGTAACTGGCCCACCCTTTCAGCTGCTACTAGGCATGCTGACGTAGCAACTCTACAGATCTCAATCTCTCTGTTAATAACAATTCTAAAGTGAAGTTATGAAGGCTTTTTCCTTACTACATGGAGGGAGAAGTTGCTTTTCTATTATTCCTTATATTATTTTCTCTGCTCTTACTCTTGTCTCTAACTATTAGAGAAACCTTTTGTAAAATATAGTTACTTCATTGATATACCTCATTTACCCTAGAATGTCTGTGAACCTGCACTGCTTGGGGTTTAATAAACCATCATGCTTTTATGAAATATATCATCTAACTGATAAAAGCACTTCCTGGAGAACATTTCACCACTATTGAAAAGATTTGTCTTTCATCGAGTACCTGATTGGATTTGGACACAGAATCCAAGCTTCTACCGTCTCAAGGGAAAGCACCTCTGAGCTCTAAAGATAAACAGACTCAGAGTAAAGGTTTGGAAAACAATCCTACAAGAAAATGGCACCCAAAGGAAGGCAGGGACAACCTAATTATATCAGAAAAAGTAGATCTGCAGTTAGAAAAGGTAACAAGAGACAGAGGTGGACACTGTATCATGATGAAGAGGACAATATTATCAGGAAGACATGACAGTTGTCAA